TGAACAGTTCAGCCTGTGTGATATGTGGTGGTTGGAATAACCTTCCTCTCCACAAAACTTTTTAAATAGCTTGGTTTGTGTAGAATTTTATTTTTTGCTGTTGATTATTTTTGTTCTGTTTTGGCAGCTAACTGGTACGGGAATCTGAACCCTTGACTTTGGTGTTATCAACACTGCACTCTAATCAACTGAGCTGACCAACCAGCCCGTTTGCTGTTGAATTATTACAAAAGGAACACAAAAGGGTTTGAATGCATTTGGATGTCTTCATTCAATGAACTAGATGGAATTAGGAGTGGAGTTAGAAGAGGTTGCACTGTAGTTGACTGAAAGTGACAAAATTCTCGCAAATTTTAAGTCGCAGATTATTTCTAACCTCTTCCCTCACCAAGCTGTAACCAGACCACTAACAAGCAAACTGCTTGGAAGATTATCTTTACTCTATGCCCACGTGTGTGTTGGCTGTATCCATCTGCCACCCAGCCCCCATCCAGAAAGCCAGGCTTGCTCTTCCTCCTCATTCAACACATAGTTAAAAATAAATGTAACCAACAGAAAGTACCAGATGACACACATTCCGTTCTTCCTTTCAGAAATTATTTACTGAAGGTCTCGGATGCACTAGGCCTCTGGGACATTAACTATGAACAAGACAGACATGTTCTTGCCTCATGGAGCTGAGGGTCTTCTACATGGCCAGAGATAGAGAATATCTGGGAGCCACTTGGCATCTCTGAAGAAATGATATATGAGCTGAGACCTTGACTCTCTCCCCTCTGTCAGCCCCTCTCTTCTTCCATCTGCTCTGCCAGGTCTCCTCTTCTCTCCATACTCTCCACCTGTCATCCTCCACTCTTAGTCTCCCAGCCTTTAGTCCAACCTTTGAGCCTTTTTCCAATTCTTTTTCATTGTCTGTGGCACACTCAGGTAGAAGGTTATAACAGCCAGGATTACGATGCAGAGACGTGGTTCAATTCAATATAGTCATCTCTCTGCAGTGTGGCCCCTGAAAGGGCACACGGACCCGAGCTGATAAGACGACAGGACCCGAGCTGACAGTTCGCCAGAGAAGTTCCCGGAAATGCATATTTTTAACAAGCTTGCTGAGCCCTCTGTTTCACTTCTAGAAGAGTGTCACTCTCCAGTATCACTGACAAAACATATTTTTCACTTTTGTAACAAAGTGTTTCAACATGAGACTGGGTGTATGAATGAGAAGTTAGCAACTGTGGAGCAAATTTTATGAAGTCAGTAAGTGTGGTTTATTCTAAGACTTAATTTAAAGATACAACATATTTTCCAGCATATAATTATTCCTTGATAGCTAAGGAATAATCAGCAACTGGCATCAAAATTTTCTCTGCAGCTGACATGGTTTCCAAATGCCTAAAAGAGTTTTTAAAAGGTAGCACTTGAGGTAATATTCATTCCAGTAGCTAATGGAGGAAAAGAAAGCTTGAAAATACTCACTTTTTTATTTGTGCCAAAGCAATGTTATTGATGAAAACCATATTTGAAAGTCCAATGGAGTCTTCGAGTCCATTTACCATCTTCTGAATTTCTTCTATGCTTTGAACATTACCCTTCAAGGCAAATGCCTGGATAAGGCGAGTCACTGCTACCCTAGAAGGGGTCTGCTGCAGATCTAAGGCTGTTTTTAGCGTTGTCAGAGCCTCTAAAACAGAAAAGCAGAAGACAGTTTTTCTTATATGATCCATATTAATTTTAATGCATTTTGAAAACAAGCTTTTATATATGAGCACCAAATGCCTATACACAAAAGCCATAAAAAATTAATTCTAGGTTACAGAAAATATTAATACTTTATGAGAAATCTTTTTTAAATGATTAATTTCACTATCTATAAGATATTAGAGACCAGAAATTTTCTTCTTTAAGTCACAGAGAAAATACAAATGTTAATGACAATACGAGTTCCATTCATGGATAACATTTAAGTGACTAATTTCAAGAAAGTTGATAAGCTCAGAGAAATATAAATAAGGAATAATTTTAAAAATTAAAGAGTTTCCAAAAATATGCAAATTCTACCCCCATTCATACTTTCCCAGATTTTATTAACTTGGATACACGATTATCAAAAACTTTTAATATTCCAAGGATTGTTTCTTGAAAACAATGTCTCGTTCTAGTCCAAACAGGATCAACCACACAGGAGCGGCCACTGGAACATATAACTTTCACACTAACAAATTTATTTTACATGATTAGATACCTTGCAGATATTTTCTTGAACTCATTTTTCGAAGAAAATAAAGATCATCCAAATTCCCATGAATATAGTTAATGGAGTTTGGTTTGTTTGTTTTTAAAAATATCATACTTAAATAATTATGAATAAATAACGAATATTGTTCTAATTTACTGACTTATTTGCAAGCATAGTGAAATCATTATATTAAATAAAGTGGTCGGTGGGGGGAGGGGCAGGAAGAAGATGTAATACTTAGCATAACAATCACCATTACCATTTCCAAAAAATACTTCAAGGCTTTATAGTAACTAAAGCAACGTAACCTAGACAAAAGTAAGGCTTCTAAAAGCAGCTTTCCAAATAAAAACAGCGTATCTTTCACAGAGGAACAGGGAAAGGGTAATAATTAAACAGGCTATTAAAAACAATACAGTAAAAGACATGATAAATTTAGTGTTCATTACTGAAAAAACAATTTAATTACTCCAAATCTACAAACAATCTAAACCAGTAATTCTCAAATGGGGAAAAGAGAAAATAGTTTAAAAAGCATATTCAATAAAATTTTATAAATACACATGCACACACAGAAAACAAAAGGTGTTTTTATACTATTTTAAAAATATAATCTATAGAAAATAAGCTCGATGAACTGGTGGTCATACACAGATAATCAATTCTGGAATATTCTTATTAACAAAAATACTGTCAGCTAGGGAAAATCTTCCCACTAGTAGATCAAAATAATAACAACAAAAATAAGATTAATGATGATGATAATGGTAACTCAAACTTAATGAGCTTCTACCACCTTTGTTGAGCATTTATTACATACCAGTTATGGTACTAAGCATCTACATTCACAACTACTCTTCTGAGGTAAGTACCAATACTACAGATTAGATACTGAAGCACAGAGTTTAGTTTACTCAAAGTCAAGGTCATATTGTTTGATACCAATCCAAGAGCCTAACCATCCCAGACCTTGTATCCATAGGTGCATGCATGCAAGAGAGGAGGGGCAAGGAGAAAACAATGTCTATCCAAAGAGGGAAAGGAACACTGTGACCTAAAATCATACACTCATATAGGACTTGCCTTCTGTACAGTTAATGACTTAAGGGACAACAAAAATGGTACCCGTCCACATCCCTCCTCCCAACTCCTTTCCCACTGTCACCCAATTCCAACATTTACTCAACTACTCACTAGTGATACTGATTATACTGCACAGGTGCCACATATCAGCTAGTAATATTCTACATCAGCATTAGTTTATAAAATTACATTAAGATTTGTCTTTATTTTTTCTGCCTACTTTAGATGGGGTTAAGGAAAAAGAGACAAGGGCAGAAGAACAAAAGATGATTTTAAAAATCAGCAGCTCTAGTCAGCCATGGAGCAAAATAAGGAGATGGAAATAGGGCCAACACCATTGATGATCACTTTACTCCAACAATAGATTAGCTTGTGGTGATGCTCAGGAGCGGGGATGGGGATGAAGGTAGAGGAGGTTGTAGGGGAACAGTGGGCTCATGGCTCCTTCTCTTAGACAACCTTCACTTGAGCTGATTAGCTGAGAAGAGTAGTTGAGAAATTAACATTGTGTACTTTCCTGAAGTTTTCTTGGGACACTAACATACAAGTAAAGGGTAGCTTGCAGTCAAGTTAAACAAATCCAGGTCAGATTCAGTTCAAAAATGAACTCCCTGAAATTAAAAAACTGCTTTGTTCTTATCTCCATGTCCACAGAAACATAAGCTACTTTTGAAAATTAGCTCATTTATATGGGGAGTAAGTTTAATTTTTCAATGCTTTAAAATTGTTTATCATTTCTGGGCCGAGCCCGTGGCGCACTCGGGAGAGTGCAGCGCTCCCACCGCAGGTTCGGATCCTATACAGGGATGACCACCAGTGCGCTCACTGGCTGAGTGCGGTGCGGCCGGTCTCAAAAAGGACAAAATAAATAAATAAATAAAATTGTTTATCATTTCTACATAAAATATTAACTTGACAAAGTCTTTTCTGTTGGAAATAAAAGCTTTTAAAGTTTTAATAACAATCTAGAAGTGAGGATACATGAAAATAAAGTTTTAATAACAATCCCTTATACCACTCAATTACCACTTAAGGCTATCCCAAAAGACTGTCTAGTTGGATGGGCCCTGGCTATGGAATGCTGAGGTAGAAATTTTGCAAAGGGAGAAATTACCACAAACATATTCCGTTTTAATCAATGAGGAAGACAGGTGAAGACCAGCACATTTAGGTATTATAGGCAACATTAAAGCTGCACAATTAGAGTAACTTCCTCTTAGGGATGTGAAATTATTTTATAAACATGCAAGTGAAGAATAGCACCATTATCACAGACTAAGGAAGAAACAAGGTAACATATTTAATGGTTAAAGAGTTTTTTCAACCTCCCTGAAACATCTCTTAACCGGGTTTTGTTGCACTGGCAAAACAGTGGTGTTTCTGTATTGACTAAAATTCAAATGTAAAACCTAACGTGAAGAGCTACTTACCTAAATTTAAGAGATTCATCATTTTCCCCCTTTGGAGCTCATTCATAAGACCTCCAGATCCAAATCCATCCCACTGCAAATCTGTGAACAGCCTCTACTAGACTGACAACCCCCATCCCAATCCTCCCCAAAGTCATTTCCACATCTTTCCGGTGTTATCCTCTTAACATTAATTTAAAAACTCTAAAGTTCAAACAAACGCCGTATTTTCATGCTGCTGGTATTACAAACTATTAAAAAAAGTATTAAATTAAGTTTTAAAAATCAATATTATAATCATTTGATGCACAATCCCACACATTTAACACTCAATTTAACTCATTTGCTACCTCACATACAACCAACACTGGTATTACAAACTATTAAAAAAAGTATTAAATTAAGTTTTAAAAATCAATATTATAATCATTTGGTGCACAATCCCACACATTTAACACTCAATTTAACTCATTTGCTACCTCACATACAACCAACACAATATGCGAGAAACAACTGCTGGGAATTGTTTCAGATGCTCTAAAGTATGTTAATTTCCAAAGCAAAATGACTTGTGCTGTGAATTTTAACGCACTTGAAAGCCTGTACTTTCTCTCATTCTAGAACACAAATTTTGCATGTCTGAAGAGCTGTGATTCATCTTAAGAAAACCCATCTTGTGTTAAATGGAATGGAAACTGGACTAAGTGGTCAAATGACAAGTACATTCATATTCAAGCTGTATTATAAATGCATGTACAGTAATTTACGTCTCTCAGCTACCACAAAAGGCTCTTGATAAGCAGGTAATTTGCTAAATGGACTCCTTTATCCAAGTATTCGAAGGGCGTTACAAGAAAAATCTGCAGAGGCATTAATGTGACGTAAAGGTCAAGCATTGTGACATACCTTTCAAATAATCCCGCCTAACTTGCGTTATGATGAGGAGGCTGTTGGCAGCATCGTTCAGTGTGAAGCCCTTGATGTGGGTCTCAGCGCTAAAAGAAGCAGACATTTAGAAAGGAATTACTGACATGCTTCTGATACGATAATAAATGGTTGAGCACCAAGGTGAAATTATAAAAACTACTGTTCGTATGTTAAAAATATTGCTGCAAAATATCGACCTGGAGACAGCTTTTGTGTTATCCTGTCAATGGTTATAGAAGGATAATTTTTTTTTGCATTCTGACAGATGACAAAGTTGGAAATGAGCAACAAAAGAAACAAAGTACAAGATTTTTTTTAAACAATCGGTTCAGATTCTTGAATGCTGACATATTAGATGACTAAAATAACTGCATGCCCTGCATTGTTCTGCTGTATCCTAGGCTGGATACTTTTTCCTCTTTTTTCTACATTCACCATAATTATAAAATGTAAAACTATTCTTCCAGCAACAAAAATGAACATTTATTTTCAGCACTGTATATTTCAAATATAAACTAAAGCATATTACTAACACCATTATCATTTGGTTGATTAATTTTCAAATTTCTGTCATCCAGATACATTCAGTTTTTAAAGCTGAACGTACCACAGAATTAAAACCATTGTTATAGGCCGGCCCGGTGGCGCACTGGATTGTGCGCCGCTTGGGAAGCGCGGTGGCGCTCCCGTCCGAGGGTTCGGATCCCACATACCGACCGGCTCCCGCTCACTGGCTGAGCGAGGCGCGGGAGCAACGCCGAGGCTTGCGATCCCGTTGCCGGTCCCCGGTCCGGTACGGGGGCAACACTGAGGGTTGCAATCCGTTGCCGGACTCGGAAAAAAAGACAAAAGACAAAAAAAAAAAACAAAAAACCATTGTTATATTAAAATTTAAAATTTCACACAATAATCTTGCCCCAGACTTAAATTTGAAACAAAACCCCAAACTTTTTAAAACTCAAGAGCTTTACTTATCGCTAAGACCTACAGGATCTAACAAGGCAAAACACACAAAAAGCAAAACAAGAAAACCCCCAAACCTAGGCAGCAAGGATTTCTGTTTGCTACACTGTTCTCACATCTCCTGGGATGAAATTTCAGCATTATTAATGCCCCAGGGCTCATCTCCTGATTAGGAAATAGAAATAGGCAAAAGGAGCAAAAGCAATTGCTGTCATTTGCCTTATGGAGCTCAGGGGTGACCTTGCTGCCAACACCGGCACGGCATGCCTACATGGACATATAAGCTGAGCAGATTGCCAGGAAAGCGAGGTCACTGTTAAATTATTCTCATCAATCCCAAGAAAATCCTCCAGAGACACCACAATGTGCCATCCTCTCAGTCACTTTCAGCCTCTAAGGTTCACCCCTGCGGTCCCTTGACACTGGATTTTCTTATTCCCCAACCAATCCTCTTAATCCCGCCAAAACATCCATTGCTCAGTTTGGCTTTTTTCCTTTGTCCCATCTGTCAAAGCTCTTAAGTCAACAACTCATGCATGAAACTATAAATTGCATAAAATAAAGGATTTACTTTCTCAATCTTTCGCAAGATTAAATAAAAATTAGACACTATTAAAAGCTCACTTCTCAGGCCAGTATTATTACATGTATTATATGATATTTACTTAATAATATTACCTATAATTCATTAAAACCACAAACTAACAAAACATCTCTTTTAACTGAAATCAAATGTGAACTACCAAACTTCTGAAACTTCTAAACACGTAACATTCTCTTTCAATAATATTGTGTCTCGAGAAGCTGCCTATTCGTTACAAATATGAAGTGATATCAGGAAGAAAAAACTCCCAGATCTATTATATAATGATATATTTTACATATTTACAAACTGATCAATCACAACCAGAATATATTCCAAACTGGCAAAAGGAGAAAAACTACAAAAAGTTACTGGTAGATATCTTTGCATTGGAACCATTTATACAATACAATAAAATAAATTTACTTTTGACTTCCAGTTTTGATCTTTCCTTTTAGAAAACATCTAATCCACAGCTGTCAAATCAAACTTCTGTGATGATGGGAATATCCTTTATCTGTACTATCCAACAGGGTTAGCTACTAGCCACATGTGGCTATATGGCTACTGAGATGGAGGAACAGAAATCTTAATTTATTTAATTTTAACCAATTTAAATTTAAACAGTCACTTATGGCTAGTGGCTACTGAATCAGACAGCACAGAGATTCTAGACATTTTCTTTTATTTTTAAAACTGTAAATATAAAGGAAAAAAATGACAGGAGGAAAAGGGTATCAATCTTTCAATATACAATCAATTACAAAAATTAAACTATCGTAACCAAAGAAGATAGTATTATAGGAAAAGTTTCACATTAGACATTTCAAAGTAATGAATGGTCTATGGATTGTGCTTACGTAATATGCACATAGAACTTTAGCCAGTAATTATAATTAATATTACTTTGGATAATAAAAACTGGCCAATCTAGTAAAAACCATCAGTGACAGATATGAAATAGGAAGCTAGAAGGAACAAGAGAAAATGAAGTGCTACTCTCAAAAGATAAAGCAAGGCTATTGCTACATGATTCTCAAATTCCCTAAGAATACTAATTTACATCCCTTACTGCTCTTTGAATAAGCAGTTTCCTTCCCTTGGAAGAATTCACTATAGGTAAAATTTCATTTTGAAACATGAGGAAACTAAAAATCAAAGAAAGGTGGTTTCTTGAAATTGTTTTAAAGGGGGCTGTTACACTTATTTTTGAGGTTCCACTACTTGTTTGGAAGGTTAAATGACCTTGTTAATAAAATTGAAGAAGTCTCATCAGATGTTAAGTGCATCTATAACACATTTTATAATACAAAGGTGTTTTTCAGTTCATAAGAAAACTATTGCTCTTAAGGTTGAACAAGTGACATTACGTAGTTAATTGTAACAACAGATTGCTATTTATGAACAAAAACATACCAGAATGATTCTAGGGGTACTGCCACACGCTACAGTGGCTCATTTGGTCACCATATTACAATAAAGTTGCCTATAAAAAAGCAACAATTCTTTTTTACTCTGATCCACTGATACAGAGCTGGAAGGGAAAGAGATGATATAGTCTAGTGTTGGCAATGAACCAGGAAATGAATCCAGAGAAGTTACGTGACATACCTTCATAACATAATTAGTTGGATAACGGAATTTGACCTTCCACTTCTGAATTCCTAGGCAGGGTTATTTTCAAAAGCACCCCATGTAGATTTAATGCAAGATACACTACTGTATAGTTAGTTGTAACATTTTAATGGTTCAAGTGAAAGACATGAATCCAGTCCCCAGACTAAGGGGGCAGACTAAGGCTTTTGAATCCAGGATCTCTTGGGCCTACACAGCTGTATGGGGAAGGCAGGTACAGAACATTCCTGGCGGGATAACATGGATAAAATAAAAGTGCTCTCAAGAGTATAGGAAGTCTCACTTGTACGTGGAATCTAAATAGTCAAACTCAGAAGCAGAGAAGAATGGTGGCTGCTGGGCTCTGGGAGGAGGAGAAATGGGGAAGTGATGGTGAAAGGGGACAAAGTCTCAGTTATGCAAGATAAATAAGTACTAGAAATCTATACAACATACTGCCTGTAGCCAACAATATTCTACTGTATATTTAAAGTTGCTAAGAGAGCAGATCACAGGTGTTCTTATACGTAAAAAAACAACCAATGATCATACTCATAATCAGGATGGGAGGGAACTTTGGGAGGTGATGGATATGTTTATGGTCTTGATGGTAATGACAGTTTCATGGGTGTGTATTTATCCTGAAATTCATTGAGATATATGCATTAAATATGTAACATCTTTTTATATGTCAATCACACCCCAGAAAGGCTTCATAGAGATCCAGTGAGGAATGGAAGGAAAGAAGATAAACCTACATTTTACAGGTTGTGGATATAATGTGAAACAGAAGAACCCTGCTTATAACTATTTCCTAGGTCAACAGCTTTCAAACTTGTTAGATAAAGATCCATGGTAGGACTATAGCAGTAAGAAATGATGTTTTACACTACATACCAGTACACATATAACTGAAATTGTTCCACAAAATAATATCCTTACTATATGAAGTGCTTTGATATTTTCTATTCTATTTCATTAAAAAAAAATAAATGCTGTGTCTGTCCCAATGAATAGATTTCATGACCTACTAATTGGTTGCAACTGCAGCT